AACGAGAAGATGGTTAAACCAGACTTTTCACTCCATGCCATTGGGGATACTCTTTTCTTTCTGCCTACGCTGCTTTCACAGTGTCTTTTTACCCTCTTTATTTTTGCGGCAGCTTCTGTAAGATAGGATTTCCTGTACTTTCTCCTCTTCCTTTTCTTGCTCCTCAAGGTCTTTTGCAAATGTCGCTCAGATTCTCTGCTATGTTTGGTCAGCCTTTTGTCAGCTTCAGTGTTTGACTTTGCCTTTCAGCAATGAACAGGAACTCTTTTGCTTATTGGTTTTATAGTCTTTCATCCAGAACCTGAAAATGACATAGATAGCACTTCTTACTCTTCTCCCAAGCTGAGATAACTTGATCTAAAATAGTGTTTCTCAATTAAGCAACTTTAGTTTGTGTGGATTTCAGATTCCAGAATTCTCCAGCCAACGTGCTGGGAACTGAAGCCTACACATCTTCAGGCTTCCAAGATTGAGAAACTGTAAGATAATGAGTGGCCTGGAGAATTCATGGCTTAGGATGGACTGGAAACCTGGATCTACATTCCTAGTCCAACATTTTACTGATGCACTATGCTCGCTGTCTTCATAATTTTTATTTTCTGAGAGACAAAGATTGTTCAAAAGAATGACTTTAAGGTACACATTAAAAGTTGAGAGTCAATTTTTAGCCCATGCATTGGGCTACAACACTAGATGTAATGTCAGTTCTCTATGGTTTTTATAATTGATGTAGAAATTCTGAGGATTAAGGAAATGCTAATTAAGATCTCATTTAGGAAAAGATGCTTGTTATTTGATATGAACATGATGATTTAGATGGGCTTTTCTGTATTGTGGTTTGTGTAGAAAAAAAAATTTCATTTGGTTTCTTTTTCATTTAAGATTTAATATGTTTAATGTGACTATCCTCTCACTGTATATTTCCAAATGTCTCCTTTAAATTACAACGTATATCTGGAAGGACCTGTAATATACAAAATTTTGAAGTAGTTCAGGTTAATAAGAGTTACTTTAGATCTCTTGTTTTTTATGTTAACATTCTCAACTATACATAAGACTTGAAGATTATAAACATTTAAATCTTACTGCTTCCTTGAACACATGAAAATGGCACAGATGAGAAAATGATTCTTCTCACACAATCATCTTGTGAGATGGTTAGGCTGAGATTCATCACTGCACAAAATAACTCACTGACTTCCATGTAATTAATAAGAATTTGAATCTGCATCTTCCCAGTTCAGCAATCTATCAAGCCATATAAATTAAATATATCTATTAATAACACTGAAAATAATATTAAAATAATTATTTTAAAGCTGGTTTAAAGTATTTTAAACCATTTTTATTTACTAAAACCTAATGAGGAGTGTTTAAGTTCAAAATATGGAAGCATTTTGGTCTTCTGATGTCAAAATGATTTCAGTTTAGGCATGAATAATCCCAAAGGAATATATACCTCATAATTTTATTTCAGGTAAGATGTTAGCCTCTAAATTTAATAAATAATAAATAATGAAGTAAAGTAAAATATAAAATAAAATATTAAAAACTATTTTTAACTAAATTCCACTAGCTTTCACCATTGTTCCACTGTCGAAGAAGTTCCCTATCAATAACCTCAACGATTATAGATCAATGGCAGTCATTCCTATCATCATGAAGTGCTTTGAGAAATTGGTCTGTTGCCATGAATTCTCCAGGCCACTCATTATCTTACAGTTTGTCAATCTTGGAAGCCTG